AACCCCTAAACCCTAAACCGCTCTGCCATCCCTGGCCTCTGTGATCTTCCTGCCGCAATCTGCAGCCGCATCGCGGAAGACTGACTCTTTCCTGGGTTGCTGTTAAAGGACAGCTGTTGAATTACTATATTGGGTTTAGGATTTAGGGTTTAGGATTTAGGGTTTAGGATTTAGGGTTTAGGGTTTAGGGTTTAGGGTTTAATTACAGTTATGTACCCATTCTGGTAGCTTAATTTAAGTCCCTTAACAGCAACCCAGTCTCTGAACCCGCTGGAGGGCCTCAACCACGGCTGCCCTGTAGGCCTTTGCCGCCTCCTCTTCCTAGAGATGAGGAGAACTTACTGGAACTTAAGGGGAGTAGGGGAGTGGTAAGAAAATGGGCAGGGTTCAGGGCTGAGAGTTGGGCACTTAAGTATTTCTGGAAACCCTAAACCCTAAGCCTTATAAGCGTCAGCATTCGCGCGCCCCCCAACTCCTGTCCATGATGTAGAATGTGATAAACCTACCCCGCCCCCTGTGGTCCTCTGGTCCTGTGTGGTCTGGGTTTGGTGGTTTAATTGAGAGGTTCAGATGAAGTTTATAGAGGCTTGTAGTGTTTATAGAGGGGTTCTATAGGGTTTCAAGAAGGTTTGCAGACGGTTCTAAGACGTCTGAAGAGATTTTCTGAAGGGGTTTCTATAGGGTTTCTGGAAGGTTTGATAAAGCTTTATACAGATCTTACAGAGGAATACTGATTCTAAGGTGTTTATAAAGGTTTCTAACTAACTTTTTATAAAAGGTTTACAAGGGGTTATAACTTTTATAAACGGCTTGCAAAAGGTTAGAAAGTTTCCTGGAAGGTTCGTAGAGGTTTTAGGAAGGTTTCATTTAGTGAAAGCTTATGAAGCCATCCCCCAGTGGTCCTCTGGTCTGGGTCCTGTGGTGAGGGTCTAAAGAGGTTTTGAAAGAAGGCTTTAGAAAGGTCTTGCGGAAGGTTCATGGTTCTGGGAGGTTATAGATATGACTGATTCCCAGATGGGGACCAGACTAACCCTAATAACCCTAAACCCTAAAACCCTAAACCCTAAACCCTAATCCCCTTTAAAGAATCCCCCGCATTTCGCCCAAGTCGTCCTCGCCCTCTGAAGGCACCGGCCTCGTCACCTGCAGGCCAACCTTCATCTCAACGGCCTTTCAATGGGTTTATCTGGGTTGCTGTTAAGGAACTTAAATTAAGGGTTTAGGGTT